TCCATGGGAGTCACTTGCAGGTTGGAGGTTCTCGCGGGAGTTCAAAGTATCTCGATAATTCAGAAAAATTACCACGAAAAACGGGGGAAAAATTTACCACGAAAAAAAGAAAAAATTACTCAGAAAAACAGAAAATAATTACTCAGTAAAACAGGAAAAGAATTACTGAGAAAAACGGGGAGTTTTTTTTTTCAACTGAATGCAATACGCTTCCGTAGTTAAGTGATGGATATCACTTAATGTAAAATGTCAGATAGATGAAAACGGTACTGATCACTTATTATATACGCCTATTATGCTTAAACGCGGCATGACGTGCTATTTCACTGTGTTCAGGTCCTGTCGGATATATAACAATCTTCAGCCCACAAAGATAACAAATGGTAAATGAATTGTTTCTTTAATTGGTCTTACTTAATGAGTTAAAAACAAGAACCCCCCCCCAGTACAAGCACAGAAATACGAGGCACAATAACTGTAAGAACTAACTAACTATGATAGTAGAAATAGGACTAATAAAAATAGCAACAACTAGGGAAATCCTATTTGGAATTCAAGCTTCTCATGTAAAGAGCTATACCCACAAACGTCCATGCTGGTAGACCATGTTAATTTGTCTTTGCTACATTATGTTAAATAAATACATGAAGCACTACAGTACGTATGCGGTTGGATACTTTGTGGTCCCACTATGATCTTCCAGAACAACTTCAATGCTCCTGGTCATAGATGATCCAAATGTGGATGGATGGACAGCATTCTTCCAAAAAATATTCCCTGGTTTGGTGTTGTCATGGAGATGGGGAGCGTCACATGCTTTGGGACTTCTTATGATAAACGGACAAAATTAGCCCTTGGTGGAATCTACAAATGTTTTTTAAAGCTTCCGTGCTTTGCATTCCCTTAAATGCTCCATCTCAGAACACAGCAGGGCCTGTTCCATTTCTCTGAGTCTTCCATGCAGCCTTTTTTTCTTTTCTTTTTTTTACCTCAGTAATTAAGAACAACTAATGAAAGAATGAAAGTTTCATTTTGTACATAGTAACGTAGTGCCGCATCATGCAGCGACCATTCCTATTGTTTAAACTGTAATCAGAGCAGGTCAGTGGGAAAACCTGTTCACGTTACCCACACATCAACAACAACAACAGACTGTTGACTGAATGGCTGTGTGCACTACTGCTGACAGCTGTATCAAAATAAAAGCCAGTATTAACACTTATACAATCTATTTGTTACAGGAGCTATACACTTTGTTTGTGTCTTGTTTCACTTTCTGACTAATTGCTACAAATATATATCAGATAAAAGTAGCTACTGAGTTAGTTTACTACGTTTGCTATCTATGTGGTGTAACTACAAGGTTAGCAACAGGGCTACTTTGGAACAATGCATGGACACTACCTTCCTATATATATATATATATATAAATATATATAATATAATATAATATAAAAATAGGTTTTGTCATTGCTGGAATGACCTACTACAGCTTTAACATCAAACATGCCAGGAGTCAGCAGAAATAAATAGAAAGTGACTTAAGTGAAAATGTTAAATTGGTGGCACTGTCTCACAGTTAATGTCTTAATATATATTTCCATTCTATATTATATAATATATATTTCCATTTATTTTTGAAAACCTTAAAGTGAGGTTTTAGTTTTGTAAATGTACGTTTTATTATTTATTATAAACTCTACAAAACAAACAATGAGATTAATCAGAAAATACTCGTTTTCATATAGTATTGGTTCTTAAAAACACATTATATAAAGATAAATATGCGTGGACATTAGCAGTTATTTTTTTTCCATGAACTTTATTAAGAAAATGGACATTCAATACATGAACTTCCAAACATTGTATACCAAACAATTAATGATATAATTTGCACTTACACTGTTTACTTCATAGAATTAAATGAATATTAAAATAAGTAAACAAATAAAAGAAAACAAACAACCGTAGACTAACAGCAGTTCAATATGCTGATGAGCTCGGCCACTGACAGGAAAATTACGTCACTGAAGTCACGTGATCACAGTCACCTGACTAAACCAGTGACAGAAGTTTGACCAGCGAGTGTTTGACGCCAGCGGGAGCAGCTTCTTCTTTTTCTTCTTTCTCTAACAGAACAGACTGTAATAATGCGGGGCTTGATCTGTGGACCTAAACTGGCCGCGTGCGGGATGGTGTTGAGCACGTGGGGCGTTATAATGCTGGTGAGTGTGTCTCTTAGCTCTTCTCTTGTTGTTTTCGTGCCGTCACTTTCTATAGACCACAACGTAAAACTGACTGAGACCTGCTGCTGTAGCTCTGAACCACGTCCAGAGAAGACAACAGTTTGCCTTGGAATGAGTTTCAGTTCAGTTTGTACTCTGGCTGAACAGGACTAGGCTGTATCCAAACAACCTCCACAATGACCACTAAGCTGAATGACCTGTGTCCAAAACACTAAAAGCTCAGAGTGAATTATTGTAGGGCTGTTGAAATTGACAAATACAATTTCTTTGTAAATATTGGATCATTTCCTGCCTATACTTATATCCACTGTATTCTTCTCAGGGGTGGCCTTAAGCATCTGGGGGCCTGTTTCAAGAGCTAAATGAGGACCCTTCTTTGCCCTTCTCTGCAAACACTCTTCTGCATTGAAAACACTGATGTGTTATGTATGCTTCAACAATTCCCTCAGATTAAATGAGCGACCTAGTTACTTCATACTCAACTGTAATCTGAGCAAGAGCTGACAGATGCTCCTCACACAGGTCAGGTACAGTGATCGCTCAGGTCTCAGCCAAGTGGTGAGCACCCACTAGTGTCTGTTGAAGTGGTGTCCATTGTGTCATTTTTATCATTTTTATAAGAAGTAACCACAGCTTGTCAGTTAGTATATATTTTCAAATAGTGGGTGAATTATTAAATTCTTGAATGTCAGTTGAGGCCGGGTTCATTTAAAATGGGTGAAACGTAGCTAAGGCCTCCTCTGGTTCTTCTTAAAGCTGCAGGAGATAACTCTTATATCAATAACTTTAGTAGGAGCCAGAGGAAACAGCTGTCTCATGTCCTTCTGTCAGGATGTAGTGGAAGTTTCAGTGAATAGGACCTAACTGTGTCCTTTAGTAACAAGTCTCCCTCCTCTTCCACAGGCCATGCTGGGAATTTTCTTCACCACACATTCAGCAGTGCTGATTGAGGATGTGCCTCTGACAGAGAAGGACATCGAGTAAGGCTTTCACTGTCTCACCTCACTGCACATCTGTCTGTACAGCTGCACTGATGTTTCATACCTGTCAGATTCTGTTAGAGCTAGAGTATATCCGCTGATCGTAGCTCACTGAAAATAAAGTGTTTCCATCAATGTAGTTATTTTCATCCTCAGGCAAAACAACATTCAGAGGATCTACGACCTGTACAACAAGGTGGGCTACAACTGCTTCATAGCTGCTGCTGTCTACGTCCTGTTTGGAGCCCTCTCCTGCTGCCAGATGAGGCTCAACAAGCAGAAGGTGATCTCATTTATTTGGCTTTTTTCACTTTAATGTTATTGACTTTTGCTGAATGGCTCAGACAACAGCGAATAATGGTAACCAGTGTATTATGATGCTTATAGTATCATCAGTTTCTAACCAATAGGCAGCCCTCATTGGAACTACTTTCTTCTGCAGCAATAGTCTTTTTAAATGTACATTTCTGCCGCTAGGGAGTCTCTCAAATCAAAACAATAACAAAAGAAGATGTTTGATGACGTTGTGAAGTAGCTTGGGATCATGGGAGTTGTTGTCTTTACCCCCATTGCCGTCATTGCAGTCAGCTTCTCCCAGTTAGGATTCCTTCAGTGTTCATGGTTCAGGAGGTTTCTACCGGGAGCCCAATTATCCACAGAGGTCTCCTCCTCTCCAAA